CACCCAGTTAGAGTGTCATCAGTCGAAAACAATAATATAGAATTAAGGCGAATAAATGTTAAGAAACCTGAAAAACAGTTTTATGGTGGATATCTAATTATTAAATAAAAAACTTTATGATAGACGAAAGTTTTCGTCACTGATCTGATGAACGGAAGATCAAAAATATGTTTCAGGATGATATGAAGAGACAGATGGAAAGTGGCGTCATTCGGATCAGTGATTAAAAATCTGATTAAATGCTGATTTCTTTCTCTCAGTCAAAGTAAGTAATTCATAATTTCCGATGTTCATGATTCTGAACAAACATGTGAAGCGAGGAATAGGAAAGCATGACAAGGAAAACTCGTTCAGCTTTAGAGAAGCTGCAGCATCGTCTGCAGCTGGTAGACGCACGCTTTATTAATGCAAATACAACAGATAGTAAATGTGACATGAGTAAATTATGGCTCCGATTGCAGCAGCACTGAGGTCTACAAACAGTTGCGAAAACGACTTGAGGTCAGTCTAAAGAAAAGTATCGAGTTCTGTATGCAACATGAATTCCATCCTAATTTATGGATGTAAGAGCTGAACCTTACGAGTGGAAGATCTGAGGAAACAGCAATTATTGGGCAACTCGTATCATCTGTAGAACAAGACTTATCGTCCGTACTTCGTATATTCAAGGCCATGCTCCCTTTCCATTGCAACATCATGCAGATCTCTACGGTCTTGAACAAACGGCAACTCTGCTGGTACAATTAAGTACTGAAAAGTGCATTAAACCATATAAGGCCACCTTTACACTGAGCGTCACTCCGATCCCTAAATGACACCGGAAGAAACGAGCACAAGTTCAAATATGACAGGACTCTGTCAAAGCTGACTCTGAAGCCTCTTTTGGATCAACAGTGCACTGTTACACGCGTTAAACTTGGGGTAGACATTGGGTGTGATAGACGGTGGTAGGAAGCCGATATCTGAGAAGATATTGGAGACAGATAAGATGGGGGTGGTGACAGCCGTGCGAAAAACAAATACCACATTAAATGGAATAGCCCTGAGCATGGAATGCAAATCATTAGAGTTGTAGCATAGTTCATGCAAATTAGGTTCTTAAATGGGGCATCACCGCCTACGTCTATGAGTAAAGAGGACTCCCATTTAAGGACCTAATTCGTATGAGGTAACGGAGTGATGAAAAACATTGCCACCCTTACAAAATAGGAATGTCCGGCCTAAATCTGACGGCTTTGTTAATTGACTTCCTGAGAACGCGCAACTTACGCAAGTGAAACCATTAATAAATAATTGGGAGGAATATTGAGTGAATTATTAACCTAGCTTCAGTGCTAACTTCATTATGTCATTATTCATACGCTTCGATTTTAGTGCCGGTTTTAGTTACCCTTACTAAACTCAAACAGTATTACTGTATTTTTATCCGTTCATTTGATCAAACCATTAAGCACCTTCTGTGCGACAGAACTAATGATCATCTGGACTCTGGTGCCTACTGTAAGGGGAGATACTTTTGTTTTTGCTTTCTGACTTCTCGAATTTCCTAGGGTATTGTAGATTTTATTATTTGAACGGTTCTAAATATGTTCGCCTACTCCGCTTCGATATTTTTCCCATGTCTCCGTCATCCAGGTATGTTTGCGGTTCTTTCTTAGTCCATCTACCAATGCTCGAAATTGCAAAGCAAAGGCTGCTCATGCGAGGCAAATCCAAAAGACCTCTAAGGGCCCTCACGTCTAGTGTTTGCAACGAGTTTCGCTGCAGAAGAGGTCGTTCGGCAGATTGTCATTTCTCTCCATCGTCACTCTTACAAAGAAATCTGATGAACTCAGATTCCTCATTGGCCACAGCTGATCAAAATCATGTGCATTTTATGTCAGGAGGCTTGGCTTAACGAAGGCATTCGAAATTAGTGTACCGGTTCACAAATCGCTACTCATGGCATTGGTTTTTTCACGTGGATCAGGGATGCCTGGTGTGTGAATCCTCGAATGATTTTTTCATTCATCGCCCATAGAGCCGAGAGCCTTGTTATCAAGCTTAGGCGGGAATTTCTTTACAGTATGTTTCCGAATAGTGTTGCTGGCATCTCGCACATAACTCAAATTGTCCTTTACAGTATTCAAGAATTTTTGGCCTCATTTTCTTCAATTATTGAATCATGGACTGGTCAGTTCTTTAAGGACGCTAGCTTCCATCAGTGGATGGATGCAGTCAATTCTTATATCACCATTCTATACAATAACTGTTGTACATTTAAGCAAAGTATTTATCAGCTCACAACGTACCTCTTCTAGATTTCTCATTCGCCTTTGCCGAAGAAAAGAAAATCTGTACATAGAATACAACTTTGCCGCATGTCGTCACATTCAAATGCTAAGTAAAGCTGAAATCAGTCGTGTCCGCTCACTCAATCCTATGGCAAACAACTGTGAGGCTATAAATCGTCGACTCATCTTTCTTCGGTGAATTTGGATGCACTCTACGAATTATTCTGAGGTACGAAGAGTCTGACGTCTGTGAAAACAGTAGAAACTCAATTATTCCCGTTTTGTCTCGCATCCTGATTTACCCATCGGCCCAAGCTGATAGATAGTGTACAAAGCTACTTAACTTAACCACCTTTAAATATTTATTTATGCACTTCGTTCCTTGTTTGATTTTTGTGTGTTTTTTATGCTAAAAAATATGGTCTTGTGTCGTATATCTAACTAGTAAAAAAACGAAACGATGAGATATGTCATCATTGAGTGTTGGTAGATGATTTCGCAACGACATTGTGTAGTTTCCTATGAATTTCTTCCGGCTGCGCTCCAGACGCTCGAGACGCCTCCACGATCCAAAATGAAAAGCAGTCATCGAAACAAACTGACTGACTGACTGACTGACTGACCGACTGACAGGTGGGACTGCCAGGCGGATTGTCCCGACTTGCTCACCGACGGACTAGTATATTAAGGTTTCTCTCAAATGGAGGAATCGAAATGCCTTCGGTATGATGGATCGAAGTGCATGGAACGACACAGTCGAATCCACAGTTAGAGTTTTGGCGAATTGCGTTGAATATAAGAGAAGCATGAAGAATCGCCCGACCGGCGATTGTGGTACAATCGTGAGAATGGGAGGTGAAAACTCGTTCCAAAGAAACTTAAGCGTAACCAGACAGCAGACGATAAAACTACAGAGACAAAAGCGCTGACAGCTGATTAATGTGAAAAAATATATGTATAAGTTTAAAATACAGAAATTTCCCTTAAGATTTGACACAGTCATTAGCTTATTAATCGCGCAGATGACAGTTGTGAATATGTCGACCTGAGGGGATGAAAGACACGTAAAAATTGTATGTCAGTTTATCGATCTTAGATTTCAGCCTTGGATAAAGAGAACTTCACGGCAGTAGTCGATTCTGAGATGAAGAAAGAGTGACTCTTCGTGATTCTGTGGACACTACGTTGATGTGAACTTTCTAACCTGAGGGCAAAACCATTAACGTTGATGAACTCAGTGCCTTTGGAGTGGTGATGTTGTAGCCACAGTATGATGTAGATAGGAATGATGTCATCTCCTGGTCAGACAGCGACAGAAGTCTGCCACTGGCGGAAAAATCGCAAACACGCCTCTAGTGTCGTTGCTGAAACAATTGACGCGTGGTCCCTCCAAAACTAGAACTAGACTTCACGGCGTAATTCGCCGCCTCATCGCAACTAGTTGCCTGAGGGAAGACACGTCTTATGTACTTGAGCATCTACAGTGACAGGTGACTCTCGCATCATTTTGTGAGCCAGAGAAGCCTCTTGCTCATCGTGAACAGTGCTTCAGGTGTTGATACTCCTGATATGCTACGTTAAGTTAAGTTCATCAGTTGTTCGTACGCCAGTGTATGTCAAGTAACCAATGATTTCTCTCACACCAGTTGTTAAAATCACGCGTTATCATGGTTTGCTCATAAACCACCGTTGAACGATGGATCATTTTTTGCG